GTGTGTGTGTGTGTGTGTGTGTGTAGGCACATATGGCTTTACTGAACAGATTAAATCTCATATGAATTTAAGTCCATACTGATATCTGTCCCCTGTGTCCAGTTTGCAGAGAAGTTTGCAGAATATAAAGAAGCGGCGCGGCTCGCTAAAGAGAAGAGTCAAGAGAAGGATATGGCCACGTCTCCTTCTCAGGTACGTTCACTACACACTATCCTAACCCCACCCACCAATTCTTAACCATTATGTCAGCCTATACTCACTCCTGAGGAAATGTCAGTTGGCTGAAGCTGCTGTTATAGATTTATAAGACACTTTTTGGTAAGGATTCCCAAACCCAAAAATTGCAGGAATTAAATTATTTCTACACATTTGAGTGTATGAACTCAATTAATGCAGTGGAGTATAAAATCACAATATTTTTCCTTTGAAAAGTATAAAGTTAAATGGAGCTATTCAATTAGAATTCACGTACCAAAGGATTTTACTTTAGTGTTAAGTAAATGTACTAAAGCTGCAGTTTTCAGACATGAACTGCGGAGAATGTCCACAATACTGGGTCTGGACTTTCTTCAGACACATCGCAGCAGGACATTGTCCGTTCACATGCGTTCACAACAACACAGAATGTGTCAGGTTAGGCACCGGCGTTAGAAATGTCAACACACCCACTCACTCGCAGTGAATCTCCTTGTGTGTTCTCACGTCAGCTCCTTGGGACATTATCCAGAGTTCTTCCTTTGGGGCTGGTGCTCACTTGGAGATTTGTGTTTCCGGAAAATTTACCGAGATTATCCAGAGCTCGGTGCATGTCTGAGAGCAGCTGAAGTTACTTTTCTCCAATGTGTGACCCCGTGGGAATTCCTGACATTGAGGTGAAGAATTACAATTATGCTATAATGTTACAATGGCCCTCAGTAGAGCACAGACCTCTGTCAAGGCCAAAGTGCACTCTTACCACAGATCTGAATACTACAGATGCCGATTTCTTGTGGATCATTCTCTTTAACTTTTAAAGATTTCCCAAGTCTGTGACCCCATTACTGAAAGAATCCATCTCAGCTAAATGTTGGTTGTAGTTAAGCATTTCGTACCGTACTGTGAGAATAAACAATGAAAATATATTATATATTTAAAGGTGTTTAATCTACTCCACATCCATATAAACCCACCTCTTTAATATGCCTATCTCGCAAAGTTAACTGAAGTCATTCCTGGATCTGTCTATTTATCTGGATCCATTGCAAAATTAAATTGATTTTTCCTTCCCCCATGTCCCATGGAAATCTGTTTTTGTGTAATCTTGCTGGCAAACAAACCAATACACAAACCAACCAATGAACAAATGAACTGTGGTGTAACAAAGCTGTCTTGGAACTCACCATAGTTTGGAAAACATAATTAGCTTGTATGTTTGGTATTTGTTTGTGTGGGGTGGCTAATAATGAAGTGTTTTAGGGCATGTAGCTGTGTCTGAGAGAAAATTAGCTTGTTTCAGAGGAGAATCCCCAGAGAAATCTCTTCTTTAATTTAAAGGCTGCTAACAGGCTTCATGTCCTCCTTTGTTCATTATGGAGGCAACAGGAGTGACCCCCCACCGCGCTGCGGCCTATTATTTGTGCTATCAATGCCGCGGCCCACGTGGGCTGAAATGCTACAGTACCTTTGTGCTTCCCCATGGGAGGATGTTTTTTAATGAAGCCAAGTGGACAGCTTCGCTCTCATCGGGGGTCGAAGGCTGCACGTGCACGCTGGCCAGCACAGCTCGCATGTTGCTGGAAGAGGAGGGACTGACGTTGCATTGTGCAGAATATAAGCCTGCAGCAGAGCACTGAAGCTGTCTGCTCTCTTTCACCACTGAAAGTCAATGTTTCACCCACATGCCTACTGGCTCTCTTTCTAATCTCCCCATCTTATCTTTTCTCTACTCTAAAAAAAGAGACGCAAGAGAAGAATTGTTCCGATGAAACGAGATGAGAAAACACTGAGCTAAATTCTATATGCTGGTCCCAGTGAGCCAGACCCCAGAGGAAAATGTGTCCGGAACAGATATTAAATGGTGTATTAATGAACGTTGAGTGCAAAATGTAGCACCCGCCATAATCTTCCTCTTATCTCACACTTCCTGCTTGTCCATTAGAGACGTAGAGGCAGTGTCATTGTGCTGCTGCATTGTGCCGGAGCCCAGAGTTGTAACAGCTTTGTTTTATGTACGTGCAGCAGCTAAATGATTTGTCTCTGGTATAATTCTGTGCTCGTATGGGATATAAAGATAAGCATTAATTCGCAATTTCCTACTGTCATACTAAGCTATTTAACGGCCTATAGGCATGTGGAACCAGCAGTAAGAGCTTTATCACTGTGTGAGACACACACACACAGAAGATTGTTTATGTATGAGATTCTTATTTTCTCTTTTTACCATAATTATTATACATTTTGTATTATTACCTGTGAGTTAATCATAATTTAGTGGGTAAATTGTAGGTACATTCCCTCGGTGGCTGAAACAAGCAGAAAATTAGCATCAGTGTTGTTAATCCTGCACAAGAACAGCTTTGGTTAGCGTCGTAAACCTGAGGATTTAGTTTTTTCTCCATTTAATTCAGTGTTTTAATTATTTTAAAATAAACTCCCATTATTATTGGGAGCGTTCAACAAATTGAGCAGCTGAAATCTTAATCAATTATGAAAAATAATCCACAAGTGAATCACTAGTAAAAATCTTTGTCACTCCAGACATAGCGTCTGTCTTCATAATAACTATAACACAGTTCTTCTTCTGTGTGAAAACAAATGACTCTATCTGCTTTTGGTAAATGTTCCATTCCCTGTTTGCCTGACACTCTTGCTGTAGAACAGAATCTAGACTGAGAAGAATAAAATGTAGCAGATGTAAAAGCTTTTGTGACCTGACTGAAGGTTTAATGATCACTTTTTCACACATATGTTTATTTATTGACGTTGCAAATTTGAATACTAAATTGCTTTATTTTATTTTATATGTAAAAACATTGCAAATATGTGCTCCACACAGAAAATATGACAGTACATTTAAATAAACAGATGTATAAATTTAAAAAATCTGTAAATAAAGCAGTAGTCCATACATATATCACATAAAAAATGATATAACATAAATATACAGAAGAAAAAAGTTAGTATTCTCATCTTTAAAATGTGTTATAAAATGTATTACTAAGATTAGATTTACACAATGAATAATATTTAAATCGAGTCCAAAATATACTTGAATGGATGCAATGGTAAAAAAAAAGTCGGTCAAAGTTTCTGGTTCATCGTTGCAGAATTTGTTTTTAACAACTAAAAATTTGACATAGATTAGTTGGATTTATAATGTGTCAAATGATTTCACAGTTGATCCTGTCTTATGTAAATGTGCATAGTGATACGAGGATTAAGATATTTCAATCATGTCTGACTGATGATTGGACGTCTGATCTGACAGTAACAGCTGACCACCTCTGTGTCACGTGCAGGAGTCTCCGGCGGGTGAGCTCTCGTCACCTTTGACACCACTGACCCCGCCCATGGAAACCATCAACGGCACAGATGACATGTGTGACACGACTCCCAACTCAGACAGCCGCCCAGAGCCAACACAGAACGCACTGGCCTTCTCACACAGGTACATCCCACAGCATGGTCATGGGTTGTTACAATAGAAATGTTACAGCACTTACTGTCAAATATCACACACTTATAAAATAGTTTCTCTCTGTTTTGCAATTTGTGTGAGGTGCACACACCTCTCTCGTCTGCCTGGACATGTGTGTGTTGCATGTCAGCATGGGCATGGACTCTCTCTATTCATCGCTGCTCTCTCGTGTTTTTCCTCTCCAGGGAGCAGTTTAAGAATTGTCGGGTCTGCTCTTTCTGATAGGGATGTCGTTACAAGTCCTGACAACTTCGGCATCATAACTGCACAAAATATATGACAATAATAATATGACATAACACAAAAAAATATGTTCAGGCACAAACATTCCCAAATAATAAAAGCCTGGTCCCAGGCCAGTGAGTGGGAGAGTTATACAAAACCTGCAGCTCTGCCTGGTTTTACTAACTGATAAAAACTCCAGTGAGGAGGGATATGGGTGCAATGACAATACAGGACTATTTCTTGAACGATATCAGTGACACTCACATTGTGTCACTGCACGTGGACCAGCAAGACATGAAACTAAGTGTTTCTCAGGAAGGAGGAATTATTTGTTGAATCTGAGCATGCTTATAAACTCACATATTTCATGTTTGCCCACTGCAATGCAACAACATCTTTTAAAAATGCAAATTTTTACTTTTGACCTTTATGTTGTTTGATGCACTATAGAGTATGTGACCTCTATATGCATGCGGCACTACTGTTGTATACATTCCTTGTGTCTCCGTGCCCTGTTTGATCAATGAATCTGAAAATGGAGGATTTCTGTGACTTGTGACTGTCAATACTGGATCATATACTTCACACAGAGTACATAATAATAATGATAATAATAATAATAATAATAATACACTTCATCTATATTTATTTATATAGCACAAAAACAAGCTCATAAAGTGCTTCACAAACAAAGATGGAAAAATTACATTATCTAAATTATGTAACATAAAGGGGTCAAAGTGCAATGTAAATATTTTTTTCTGTGAATAATGGATTTCTGAAGAGGTGTGGCTGTGAGGTTCATCACTGAAAAGGTCAATGACGCGTTTATGTAAGACTTATATAACAATCTGTGGATAGTGGGTGGCAGAAAAAGACCAAGACAGACAGACAGACAGACAGACACAATGTGTATGTGTGTGTGTGTGTGTGTCACTAGATGTAAAGGAATCTTATGCACAGACTTTATACAAAGCATCTCTCCTTCACTTGTTTTCAACCTTTCCAGTTTCTGACTCACAGAGGCTCACAGCATCCCCACACGTTACACACGTTACACACAAACACACACACACACACACACACACTGTAGGGCTTGGACAACCAGTTTGAGTCGTTTTCGTACGTGAAGTGATGTTTTTTCTCAGGAAAGGAAATGTTCTGTCGTTTTATATTCTGTCACTTGTAGTTGACTGTAAACACCTTTTTAAATTTTACAAATCTTCTTTTGTAAAATCTCTGTAACGTGTGCCACTTTGATCATTTCTCTGGCTGCGATTCTTAATAATTAAAGATATCAATCAATCGCTTAATGTATTATCTTTCTTATTTGGTTAACTCTTGGTGTTTGAGTGGAGAGCCTTCCCATCTTTGATATCTAAAGATCATTTTAGAGACTGACTGTAAAGCCTTCTCAAGTGCAAATACCTAGAAATCCCCACCACTCTATCATGAACTCTGTGAGGCTACACAGATCTGTGCAGAGAGAGCAGGATGTGGAGAGGACACCCACTGCTGCAGCCTTGCTGCTGATATGTCTATTAATGCTGCATGCGTGGGAGAGGGTTGACTCTCAGCATTTGCTATGGCAAGTATGGATGTAACAAGTAAACGTCAGTCTCACATTTTCTGAGAGGCATATGCAACAGCCATCCAGATTTTTATTTTACCACACGCCATCTCTTTTTACTGTTGTTTCTAATTTTACAGTAGCTTCATCTGCCTCGAACTGTACTGTGTGACTATTTGTTTATCATTGTGTAAGCATGTAGTTGGTTTGATGGCCAGAAGAAAAGAATAAAACATTTTGTAGTGTTTTTTTCAATGTCTTTATTTGTACACGGCTTCAGACCCACATGTAGAAATGCACCTGAGCACAGAAATCAGGTGTTTTTGCCTCAGACCTCTACATGACGCTCTCAGTTCGTCTCTCTGTCATGTGTCTGGAATTAGCTGATGACTTATCTCCACAGCGTGTACACCATGCTGTTGTGTAGGCAGGTATGAGTGGGTGCAGAGGGCAGAGGAGGAGAGAGGAGGATGAGAGACAGCTGTATGCAGGGCTGTGAGAGGGGATTGTGTATCGCAGGATGCGGGCGTGTTTGGCAGGTCTGCAGTGCACTCGTTTTGAATCGTTGTCAGAATGTTCTAAGACCTGTGAATGGTCTTCTAGTGGTGGCGGATGTAGGCATCTGTTGGCGGATTTGCTCTGGGCTTGTGTGAAAGGAGATGATGCCGATGTCATGCGTCAGGATGCCGCCAGCATCCTCCGTTCCTCCGGTGCTGCCATGGCAACTGCTCTGCCTCCCTGCTTCTTGAAGGGCTCCATGAGGAGAAGGAACCTACCTGAAAACGTGTGGTGGTCAGGAACACGGTAGAAACACGGAAAACTGTAGAAAGATCTCCTGTGTGTTAGTTTGTGTTTTATTGAGCCTGGGAGGAGAATTATCTTTGTCGTTGTGAAAAAGTAAAAGACACAAAACAAACTATTGACGTTTTATTCATTGAAGGTGAATTAGCAGTGTGTACAATATGTACAACATTCAGAATAAAATACAATAAAGTAAAATAAAAACACAACTAATGCAATCTTCTGTATTGATGTAAAACTTTTGATTTTTACAGTCTGAGACTTTGAAGATGTGAATTCATTTTATTCAAGCATGCTGCAAAAAGTGTTTAACAATTTCATCCTGGCACAAACAAGAACTTATTTCTTCTTCAGTTCAACATCATACTTTGCTCCCAGGTGGCTATAAATTGAAAAAATGACATCATGAACAGACACTAAAAAGAATCAATAGCTAATAAAATCCTCATGATTAATGATTGTCTCAATAATTACATCATCTTTAAAAGAGAAGTTCAGTGACACAGCAGCAGCTAACTTACCCTCCACGTCTCACACACCCTCAGCTCTGCTCACCCAGGATCGTGCTCAGGTGCCCTCCTGAAGCCTTTCAGCCAGCCTCATTTAATGGAGACGAACGCCAGTGTCAAAACATCTTGCACTCTTTCCTCTCCTCTAATTCTCCCTCCGTCGCTCTCACTCGCTCTCTCCGTCTGTCTCCATCTGCACATCTTGACGTCTCTCCTGCTCTCCTGCTCTCTGAGCTGCTGTGTGGGGTTTATACATTGGCGGGGCTGCGTGCCTTGGTGACAGCATCCCTCCATGTGTGTACATGCGTGAGGGTGTGTGGTTGTGTGTGTCGTTTCCCTCTTATGCGTCACACACGCAGACACACTTGCACTCACAGAGGGGGTGGCTGTTGTGTAAGAACTGAAGGCACCGTGGGAGTCCTGAGTGAATTAGTTCTGGGCTTTCTCTCTTTTACACTCCATAGAGTGGGCGTTATGGCATAGTGCAGAACGGCTGCAGTGTTTCAGCGTATATACGTGTGTAGGTTCCATGAGGGGGCGGAACACAAGTGAAAACACAGTTCTGGGTCATACGCATAGCCTCATCACTCCTTGATCGAGCTCAGCTTCTTTTTTGTGTTTTCCTGTGGACATGCTTCCACCGCTGTGAGGGATTACTGTGAAGCATGTGGGAGTAGGAGCTCCTTTTCAAAGGCACTTGACTCCATGTCAGTACTCGACAACATTTAGATCTATCAGTATTCACCTGCCCAGGTCAGACATTATGTGAGAGACAGAGTGGGCATTATTTAAATCTAGATGAATGCCTGTTCATATCTAACAGGGGAGATGCACAGCGGAAGCATTTTCCCTTCATACTTATATCTAATATTACACTTCAACGCAGTTTTTTTTACCCATCAGCCTTTTTCTCCCACACGTGCCACACATCCATCTGGAAATTCAATCACAGTCAATCACTTCTCCCTCATCTCATTTTCCCATCTGTGAGTAGCTGGACCAGATTAGGCTCCAGCCAGTCTGAGGATATAATCTCAGATTACAACTCATGTGGCAGACGGCTGCTTTCACAGCTTCTGTCCGGGGAGTGCTGACCTCCTGTCTGAGTGCCCACTGCAGCCTCTATCAACTCTCAGCGCTGATAGATAGATGGATGGATGGATAGATGGATGGACACATTACTGAATAGTTCAAGACTATAAACACAAAGCGGTTGTCTGGATGGATGGATGGATGGAGGGATACTTACAAATGATAATAGTTCTAATTCTGTATTTGTGTGAGGTCTTGTTAAAATTAAACCTTCACAGTTTTATTCATTTAGATCAGACATAACAATTTTACTGATTTATACAGTTCATATCCGACATGAATAATCACATATAATTTTATGTTACTGTTGTGGTAACCTGACATCTCTCTGTGTTCTGCAGCCCCGCCATGACAAAACATTGGGAGGCTGAGCTGGAGGCACTAAAGGGGAACAATGCCAAACTAACGGCAGCCCTGCTGGAGTCCACAGCCAACGTCAAACAGTGGAAACAACAACTGGCTGCCTACCAGGAGGAGGCCGAGAGACTACACAAAAGAGTGAGGGAAGGGGCATGGGAATGCCTGTTTTCATGTGTGATACATGTCTTTTCAAAGCAAACAGGAGGGATCATTTGGAAAGGATTGTGTGAAGTCAAGATGAGAAGATGGGAGTCATGAAAAATGGAGGAGTAATGGGTGTAAGCAGGAGGGAGAGTAAAAAGAGTGGAAATTAAAGATGGGTTATTTCACAATGTCCATTTCCTCCTTTTAGGTGACGGAGCTTGAGTGCCAGAGCAACCAAACCCCAGTGATCAAATCCCAGAAGACTGAACTCAACCAAACCATAGAGGAACTGGAGAATACGCTAAGGGATAAAGAAGAGGTGTGTGTGTGTGTGTGTGTGTGTGTGTGTGTGTGTGTGTGTGTGTGTGTGTGTNTGTGTGTGTGTGTGTGTGTGTGTGTACATGCATTTTAAACATCCTCATCATCTTTTTAACTGTCCTACAGGAAATGGAAAAGTTAAAAGAAGAATTGGAAACCATGAACGACCTGATGGAGCAGAAAGACACTCTTACCCAGAAACTTGAGGTGAGTGAAATGAGACTTCAGTGGGGAACACTTTCATCCAAAAATAATTTGCTTTTAATAATAGCAAGAAGTTGTATTCGACAGAATCTGTTCTTGGACCTACCTGCTCCCTCACATTGCATACGAGGACATCAATGACAAAACAATCACAATGTGATTTAGAAATGCATACTCAAGGTTTAACTGTCCAATAGGATGTGAACACCTACATGTAACATTGAGAGTGACAGCAAATCTGGGGGACGATTGCTCATGTTACTCTGATAGTGTTTGTGTATTGTTCCATCTTCTGGTCTCCTTGATGCATCAAGTCTACATTACACACACTCCTCTGCATAAGATCATCAGCTGCTGCCTGAGCTCTCCTTTCACCAGCTTCCAAAAAACTTCCATCACAGTGTGTAGGCCTCATATTACCCATCTAATAACATAAATATCTCATAGACACTGCCTCTGTTTCTCCAGGAGACTGAGCTGCGCAGTCGGGTGCTAGAGGAGCAGCTGGCGGGTGCAGAGCAGCGGTTAGAGGAGAACCAGGAGGAGCAGGAGAATTTCAGAAAGAGCCTGCGGACGCTGCTGGAGATGCTGGACGGCAAGATCTTTGAGCTGACGGAGCTCAGAGACACCTTGGCTCGGCTCATAGAGGAGGCCAGCTAGAGACGGGGCTGCCCGATCTTCACAGACAGAGCCATATGATAATTTACACCCCTAACTCAACCTCATCAATCCCACCCCACCATGCCCCAACCTTTCTCCTACACTCGACACACACTAAGACTGAGACACTGCACTGCCCCAATTCTAATTTTGCTCAAAAAAGGGCAGCTAACTCCCGGTTTTTAACCTTGCAGGCACCGAGCTCCAACCAACCGCAGGCACTCCTGTCGTTCGAGACAATACAGGGACTACCTCATCTTGGCCTTCTGATTGGCTGGTGTAGGTGTAACCTTGGTTGAATTGATCCTGTCGTTGAGATGCCTGCTGTGGCAACCCCCCCACACACACACACACACACACGCACACGCACACACACACAGACACACACACACACACACACACACACACACCCACCCTCACTCACCAAGAGTTAACTTGAGAACTGTGCATCAGTGCCATCTGCTGTTTGACTGGGAGAGCCGCACCACAGATTGAAGCATCACAACATCTCTCTCTCTCTCTCTTACACACACACACACACACACACACACACACACTGCATCTCTAAACTGCCCCCCCCCCCCCACAAGGGGAATGTTGAAAGTCATGTGGAAATAATTGCCGTTAAGACTCTGCGAGAACTGCGCCAAAGCTGCCAAATCCCCCGAAAATATTGTCCTCTAACTAGCAGATGCTTTGATCCAAAGTGACTTACTGTACAGAGAAGTGCTGAACACAAAGAGTCCCACGTTTGAGCTCGGGCTGCCAGCGGAGTTTCACTGGAAACAGAGATTTAAAGGACGGCTCTGTGTACCAGCCGGGACACACAAGGCTTCTCGGAAACTGAGCTTGGTTTATGCTTCTTGAGTGAAGAGAACAGACTGCTATGTATCCACGGCGTATTTAAAAAGAAAAACCCTACATGACGGATAGTGTTCAATCTTCCAGAGGCATCACTTGTGCCACACAGAAATTTTAATGGGCACGCTAGATTTGATGTGAGAATTCCTGTATCCAGACTGCTTCCACCATCTCAGACAAGTGACCTATCTTCCTGCCAAGCTCAGTGTGGTGTGTGTTTCTGAACAAGGCCTGACCCTACGACATAACGTGTGCCTTTGAAGCGCACGCAAGTGGACACGTGTTTGTATATAATTTGTGTGTGTGTTTTGTGTAGTGAGAGGAAGATCCCGTTTTTTGTTTTTTTTTGGACATCAAGGCCGATATACACACACACACACACTGAGCAATACCAAACAGGCTCTATAAGACACCTCTATCTCATTCTATCAGGTACTCTACTCAGTGGACTCATGCAGATAAAGGTCAAACGCAGCTCAGTTGATCGCCCCCATGTCCGACAGAAAGTGTACAACCGTTGACCGCGAACCTGTGTGGCAGCCCTGTCGAAGTAGTGCGTCGTGAAGGGCTTACAGAGCGTCATCTACATGTTCGTAAATCTCCACCCTGAAGCAGGCCACAGATATTCACTCCTCACTGGGTGAAGACTAAGAACTGTACTCAGTTTATATTTGTTTTGTTTTTTACATAGAATATAACACTGATGATATAATTATAGAACTATATAGGACAACTTTCTACTCATGATGGCATTGTAAATGAATGGATGAATAACTCAAATGCAGTAACACCCTGCCGCGGCTTATTGTTGTGTATTAACCAATGGAAAAGTATCGCATAGTATAGTAGAGTATCTAGTCTGTAGGTAAACAATGAAACCCTCCTCAATATCTGTTTAAAATGGCATAGCAACACAATGTAAATGCAGTGTTATATGTTCTGTACAAACGATTTCCACACATAAAGCGGCTCCAGTAACAGTCAAATCCAAAAACTGCATCTTTAAAAAGATTCTAAAACGCTATGCTCACGTGAAATGCTGCTCATCCTGCCTTTCAACTGAGCACCCTGTTTGCACTGTGTTATTACACTGTTGTAACTCCACTATATACCCAGAGATTTAATCATTAAGTCCTATAGCACAGCAGAATTCTATACGTAAAATATTAGTGTAGTTAGTTACACAGCAGGTTAATACACTGGAATAAGACCCATGTAAAGGGAGATGTTACCTAGTTTTTTTTTCTTCCTGGTTTAACTTTGACTGTCAAATGTCAGAGGTGGAAAACCTAAATATTAATGCTGTTGTTAAATGAATGCCTTTGTACAGTAGTGGATAAGAAGCTTTTCATTCTCCTGTTTTGTAACTTATGGTATTTAAATGTAGGTATTATGATTATTATTGTTACTATGATTAATATTATTGTATTTAGAGGTATGAGAAGACTGGCAATATTTTTGACTATTTAAAGTAATTTTGAACTCATGATATTAAAGAGGTACCTCAGGCTGATGTTCGTAGATTGGTGAGACTTGTGTGTATGCAGGTGAAAGGATTTTATTGTGTTTTCTTAACCTTTATTCAAGAGCATGGTCTTTCAGTTTGAGAGCAGGAATAATTGATTTCAAATTCAAATTTTTTGACGCCTTCCCTTGCACTCAAATAGCCCCTGCATTTACTTTCATTTGCTCTGCTTGTGCTAAAACTGCGCTTGCACTCAGATATTTTGTAGCTCAGGTCTTGGATTTTTATTCTGCACAACAAGTCTGTCAAAATTCCCCAACCAATAGAACGGGAGTGCATGAACCCAGTTTCAGAAATCGCCTGTACTGTTCTCTCAAAAAAGTAAAGCTAAGGCACCCACAGTGAGGGCGGGACAATTTCACTCTACAACACTGCACCTGCCAATCTATTGGTTGGTGAATTTTTGACAGACTTGTTGCACAAAACAATCCGAGAGCAGAGAAACAGAGAAGTAGCGAGCGTGACAAAAAGAGCTGAAGCTGGAGCACAGGAGTGTAAGCGCACAATTTGAGCACAAGCATCACAAAACCAAGTCAAGTGCTGCTCTCAAACTGAAATACCGCACTCTGGAATAAAAAGCAAATGCTGGTGGAGGCCAATCAGGAGACACACACCTGTTTGGTGCTTCAGCCGAGCTCAAGCCTTTTGTTGTGTTGAATTCAAACAGAGACGGCCCGACCTGGGCTGAGGAACACACCTCTGTGGACAAAGAAATGCTATGTTTTGTATTCAAATACAGTGACTGCAGAATTCAAGGTGTACAAATTACTTTTTGTTGTTTCTTTTCTTTTAAATTAAAAACACAATATTAACTCAATCAGTCGACAGTGAAAGAGACAATCTTCACAAGGTTTTATTCAAATGCAGGGGTAAGGTTGTAAAAAAAAAAAGAACTGAATAAATGAAGGTGGTAGGACTAAAGGCAAAAGGGTTTCTTTAATGAACAGTATCTGTGTAAAAACAACTGCAACCTGCAATAAGTAATCTGAACATATTATCACCCATTCAGTTGTTTCATCCTTTTTTTGTGCATTTCTTTATACTGATATTGCACTTGCCAAGTGACTGCTTATACACACAGAGGGTCATATACTGTACATATATAGAGCTTGGGGATAACAGGACTACATAGATAATGTAAAGAAGCAAACAAATTTGGCTGAAAATACTTTGGAATAAAGCAAAATAAAAAAGAGAAAGCGATGGAAAATTACAGTTAGCCGACAAACAAGCTCTGTGAAGGTTATCAACAGCTAAAGGTCAGTTTTAAACAGGAGACAGTTTGTTTCTAAGGTAACCCAAGTGATAGACAGGTCATGGCGGAGGTGTCACTTTCTCAACTCAGTTTCCCTAAAGTTTTCAGCACGTTGTTGGCCATTGTTTGGAGTAGCAACATTAACTCCAGCACTTACATCTTTTGGGAAACTGGTTTTAGTGACATCAAGCCAGGTGTGTTCTGGGTTAGGATTAAGTTCAGGGTTAGATCTCTGTCTCATGCTACAGTACATGATGAGGAAGAACATTTGTGCTGACAGTCACAGAAGACGTGTGAAAGTGCCTCGGATCTGCTCTGCTGAGATATTTTCTCAGATATTATTATTTGTATAATGTTGCATTTACCCTCCATAACTTTTCAGTTTTACATCATCGACCTCATGATTAATGTCAACACAAGCACAAAAAGATGCAAATATTTGCATCCAAGCTGTTAAAGAATGTGCATGCTGAGGCTGCTCTGACTCAGAGCTTAGTATACGACACGTTTTTGCTTCATGTTAAAAACGTGTGTCACTGTGTGCTACTAAGCATCTCACTGGTCCACTCATACTGTCCCTTCCATCCCACTTTTTTTAGGTCTTAACCTGCATGTTCAGTACTTTTAAGCTTCCTCAACTACTACAGAGATAACGTTTCACCAGTGATAAAAAAAACAAATAACAAAAAAGATTTGTTTCTGTACAGATAAAGTGATTCAGAATGTGTATCATATATGATGAAACCATCTTTTAAACTATCAGTAAAGGCTGCACACTCACTAGAATGTTTTTGCTCACGTTGGCTGTGAGTTTAGTGCACGAGTCCATGTGTGTGTGAGTGTTTTCACCTCCAGCACTGTGAGTAACAGATCTCCCACTGTGCGGCTCTGCCCACTGAGTGCAGAGGAAGAAATTAGGGAAGATGCAATAGAGAAGAGGAGAGAAAGTAAATAAGACGCCAGGAGAAACCGCATCAATCACGACCGCCTGCTCCACAGCCCACGGTGGCTCCCTGCGGCTCCGAGACAATCCAGCCTCCCACATGCCATCCATCATTCAAACAAGCGTGACCGCCCTCACAGCTGAGCCATGACTGTCCCACATACGTTTGGGAGCCACCAACCAAGTCTGCCAACACGATGCAGGATTACTGACGTTAACCGTGACCTCCACTCTGGTAAAGAAACTCTCTTTCAGCCGTCCTGCCCCAGACGACCAGCAGCAGGTCAGAGATGTTGGATGTGACAAACAAATAAGTGACTCTACATATCGCCATATCCCACCAGCCTGACCATACACTGAGGTCAAACGGATGGATACATACTCCCTCACCCAGAGAGGGTTGGGGGTGGCAGAGGCTGGAAGAAGACAAGTGTGGGGGATGGTCACGAATCTGGTATGACAGACTAAAGGATTTACAGTATTTGCACAGTGTCAGATTAGACAAGCAGGGGTCTTTACACTGTCTGACGCCACCACACCCTCATGTGACAACACAAAACCAGCTGAGTATCCCAGTGCGATCAGTCATACACTGGATGAGCAAAAACAGGGGAGATGCCTGATGGTGCCATGGTTTTCAATCTGGGCAGTAAATCCAGATACAAGTTAATTTTCTGTGTAATCTTCTTTTAGGTTTTCCCTCATGACCCCAAATCAGCAAACATACTCACATATCATTCTTAGTAACAGTTTCAGATTCTCATTCCCGATGCCTGGGAGCAACTGGAAAAGATAAGATATGAGGTTTTCAGTATTAAAAAGTAAGTCAGTACAGTGTGTCGGTGTAAAATGTGTGATGTGCTGTTTCTGAATGTTAATGTGCAGAGCTTTACAACAGCGCAAATGACAAAAGTAAAAAATAAAACATGGCATTGTTACAGTCAGACCACAGTAACATACAGTGGAAGGAAACACAGATCATGTCCTTCATGGAGGTGAGTGCAGTGTGAAAAACAAACAGGTCGACCATCGTCCTTCGGAGCATTTAGTGGTATTCAGTTTGATTCAGGTCCTGGCATAGTCACAGGGAACTGTACATGTGCGACTGGGCTGTGTGAGTGAGTGACTGTATATGTGTGTGTTTGCAGTACAGCGCAGCTCTCTACAATGCAGTACAGTACAGTTCATGCAGTGCCAGAGGGTGCAGGCATTTGTGTGTGTGAGCGTTAATCGTTGTGCCTGAGCCTCAAGCTCTCTAGCTTTCCCAGTCAGGACCAGCGAGCCCGTCGTCATCCGAGTCAGACTCCGGGGAGGCCTCCTTGATGCGGCGCAGCGCCTCATGAATGCTTCTGGTCAGGGGGTCGGTGGAGGCCGGGAGCTCTCCCTTGTCCTTTCTCTCTCTATGGGGTACACGTCTCAGTTTGACCCCCTTGCGAATCTGTGCCAGGATGCTGTTTGTATCGTCGTCATCCTTGGAGGGGGGCAGAGATCGCTGGTCGACCTTCCTCAGGTGGAAGCTTCCTCTCTTCAGGGAGGCCAGCACCTCGTCCATGGGTGAGCTAACTGTAAGATGGAAAAGAAGACAGACTGTGATTGGTGACTGTAGCTAAATAATCTAAAAGACTTTTATTACATGGTCCTGTACCTCTTCTGTGGGCATCAAACTCTGGAGTTTTCCTCAGCTTTTTACGGGCACTCAACAGTTGGCTGCTGTCAAAGAAACGAGGGATGAACGGGCCGAGCGGTGAGAGAGAAAGTTCTTCTGTTGCACTCTTCCCCTCAGCCTTTGGCCCGTGCCAGCCTGGGCTCTCTGAAGGCGAATGCTCCTCCCTTGTTGGCGGCGGAGGTGGAGGGGGCGGTGGAGGTGGAGGGGAGCTAGGGGAGGCCAGCAGTGAGGACAGCGAGCAGGGGGAGCAGGAGGACTCTGTAGGAGTGGGCACAGGCAGCGGAGGGAGGGACGCCGTGAGGATCGTGACGGGCTGAGTAGTGAGCGTGGAGCTAGGGTCCGTCTGCACACTGGTGCTGAGACACAGCGGCGGGCTCTGCGGCTGGACGCACTCACTGACACTGCTCATCTCCACGTTCCTTCCTCGCTCTCTTCTTCTGGTGTGAGCCACACGTAGTCGAGTGGACTTCAGAATCACCTGACCTGGGTACCGCTGGAGAGGACGCAGAGATAAGTTCATCAGTACAAAATACTTCATGAAACATTTAGTAACGCTTACAGATAATAAGAGAACACATACCTGTTTGAAAGTGCGTAGTCTGTCCAGAGTTCTCTGCCTCTCCTGACTTACTCTATTATTCTTCCTCTCCTCATCTTCCTCTTCTTCATTTTTCAGCTGGAAATGTATTCAATGACTTAGAGAAGGACGGAGCTACTGATAACACTTTACAGATACACAGATAAAAAACACATCTACCTGTAAGACCTTGTGAGCTATAGAGTCTTTGTGGACAGTTTGATGATTCTGCTGTTTCTGAGTGTGGTTGGATACACAGATCTCCTGCAGACAGACGAGTGGAAAAACACACTGATCCACACGTTTTCATACACACCTCCATCAATAAAACAAATGCTTCCTTTATAATTCTGTTGTAGGCAACATTGACTGTTTGGATAGTTAATGGACATTTAATAGCTCTTTACATTTCTACCTTTTGGGTAATCTCACAACTTAATTCAATATTGTCAAGAATACTGCAGTACAAATCAAAAACTATTTTCATCTGCATTTGTTTGTTCCAATGAAACTATGTAAATCTATCTTGTGGATTTACATAGTTTCATAGGTGTATATGTTTTTTACAGCCGGTGCATTGTAAAGAAAGAGTGGTACTTTAGTTATTATATTCTGTAATGACTATTATTATGCACTAACCATATGTAGAACCCAGGTTACACTTTATGAATGTGTGAGGGAATGATACTCACCCTCTTGTTCCTCAGATAGGAGCGCTTGGCAGTGATGCGCCCCCTTCTGGCCTCCAGCTGTCGAGTGCTGACCTGAAGTCTGCGCAGCTCTTCCTTCTCTGCAGTATCATCCTCTGTAATATCATCAGCACTTTCAAAGGTGTCGTAGTACACAACTTCATCCTGATGCTCTGAAAGCACAAAGATACAGATCTTTCCTGTGATACTGCACCACAGTAAAAATCCAGACAGTCTTGATCCATGTATCATTCGCATCAAAACACACGTCAGACTAATTATCTATCAAAATCAATGTTTTTTTTATTTTCTATTTAATAAACAAAAAGACAAATTATTTTTACAGACAAAGGTAATTGATTTCTGGTATTCCGCAACTTAAAAAATTACCTACTTGCACGAGTCACAATTTTTCCGTGGTGTAAATTAACTTGCTGCAAGTAATGCTGTCAATCACCTCTGGTGTCATGTGGGGGCAAATAAAATCAGAAAGCTGATTTGTTTTATTTTTTTGGCTTAAAATTGTTTATCTTTTGTAAACAATTTTGGCTAAAATATGCTCTAATTGTTTTTCTATGCAATTTCTGAAAATGATCACACGACCACCCCTTCGTTGTCTCGCGACCCCCCCGTGGTGCCCCAACCCCTAGTTATGGATGCAGTAAATGAGATAATGCATCACAAGCAGCTAATCCTGAAAACATATTTGGTAGCTTGTAAATTCAGCCAGAATCAGGTCGTACCTGTCATTTGTCTGCGAATGCTGTCGAGCTGTGCGGTGAGGAGCAGCTCTTCACACTGTAGTATATCTGACTGGATGTCATACAGTTGCAGCTGGAGCTCATAGTACTGTGTCTCCATGTGGTCTAAGAGGATCATTGCATCCTCACTGCTGCACAGACTCTGCATCTGAGAGGACAGATCAAAGAACAACTGTCTGTGAGTGTGTTTGTGTCTGTGCATGTGTGTTTTGGATGCTGTTGAGCGTCAGTACCACACCTCGTCTCGCAGGGTGTGTTTCCTCTGCTCCAGACTGATCTCCCTGGCTCTCTGGAGCTGCAGGGTTTCCTTGGCGACAGAGTAGCGCAGTCTTTCCATGCGCTCTACCGCCGCCGTCCACGAGGATTTGCCAAACTTACGCTGGTCCACTTTCATACGCTCGAACACCCCTGCACACGCAAACACAAACACCAAGTAGAGGTAGCTGAGTTACACTTCACACAGTTAAATGTGACATATGCTCATGTCAGGGAGTCAGTCACTTCTTTTAATGTGATGACTTAAAGGTTTATTACAGTTATGCAGAGAGAGACATCTATTGGCCACATTTGAACACTACAACATCTTTCTTTGTGATCTGCCTTTGAGGCCCCTCACTTATTGATTTTTGATCTAAAAAGTGTCATATAACCGATGGAAAAATCAGCATTGGAGAAAAACTGGGATAAGCAGGGACCCACTGTGGAGAAACCCTGCACAGAGAGGATCTGCTGGCAGAGCTGTCTGATCAATAGGTCGTCCTTGTTTCCTCCAGTCCCTGTCAAAGCATGGCTGTGTGTGCTGTCTCATTACTACCAAATCACATTAGCCCTGGCGTTGAAATCCACACACAGGTCAATAGCAGGCCAGTGCTAACACTGCGTGTTATTTCTGGTGTGTGTGTGTGTGTGTGTGTGTGTGTGTGTGTGTGTNTGTGTGTGTGTGTGTGTGTGTGAGTGAGTGAGTGAGTGAGTGAGTGAGTGAGTGAGTGAGTGAGTGAGTGTGTAATTATTCAAAGTCATTCCTCTGCTGCTTTATTGACTCGACATTGGCACTGGCAGTGACAGCATGCCATACCTTTCTGGGCTCTGGCAGTGATCTCAAAGTATTTGACTGTAAACTCCTGGATGTTAAGCACTGCCTCCTGAGCTTTCTTCTGCCAGTCACAGTCCTCCTTCTTTAGCGCTTCTATCCGCCTTAGGCCCAAGTAGTCATTGTCCATGGAGATCTGGTGAGAGAGACAATGACAAAGGTGAGGGAGTGTGATGAGCTATAATAGTCTAAACAAGAGATAAATGCAAATCAGATATAAGGTGATAAAAAAAGGTTGAAAAAAGTATATGAAGCTGCTTGTTTCTGTTTAAGATTCTGAGCAGCTGGATTGCAAAATATGTGACACATTACTGCCACTTAGTAGCAAAAGTAAATGAGCCTAAATTGCATCAGATCATATTGGAGGGAGCAGATAACAAGTGTAGGTCACAATAAATCATATCAGGATCGTTATTATCTTGGTGAGAGAGGAAGGATGGCAGCTCCTGACATGGATTCACCACACGGTTCACTAGTAATATGTAGTGTTTTGCACATGTGCACATTCTGACACACATTCATACACTTTTGCAAACACAGTTTCTTCATACAAATATCAGCGTCGGTGTCACAAGGTTAACATTGAATCCATTTTCAACCAACTTACAAAAATATCAAAACCGTATTTATATCGAAATGTAAAACTATTGTTTATTGTTCCTGTAGATGAAAGAATCATATTTATATAGACTTAAACAACCACTTAAAGCCTCATTTACATATTAAATATTGTAGGACCATTAGGAAAGTGTTACAATGAGTACTGACATTACTATATCTCCATACAGACAAAACAATCTTCCACAGAGCAAGGCCGATTAAATAATATTGAATTAAAGACCAAAATATAATCAACCAAATGTCAAAGGGGAAAAGAAGAGCAGTGTAACAAAAGAAGGAAAAAGAGCAGTATGGGTAACTGAGTTATGCAGCATCTCTGTGTGACCCTGAGTTACCTCTGCACCTCGGCTCACAGTGCACGAGCCAGCAGTGCACCAGCATCATTTACCACTGCAACTTCCTGCTGTGCTCACTCCTCTGGTTTATTTCATCCTTATCATTGTTTAATTTAAGAACTGTTGTATTCATATGCAGTGACTCATGTTAGTGTTGCATCAACCAACTATTTCAAATCTAACTTGAATTAACTGCATAAGAATCGAGGTTGGTTATGATATAGAGACACTATGACTCAAAAACGGGCTGATGCTGCTCTCATCTGCAACGTCTACACAATTCTGTCATCAACATGCTCAAACTTTTGTCAACACTTTGTCTATGCAAAGGGTTAAAAAACACAGTTAAAGGATATTTAGCTTTCCTCTTTTATCCTGTTGATTCAACTTATTCTTTTAATTCATCATTTGAATCATATCATATGTGCCAGACTCACATAGTTTTTTTACTTAGACAGCATAACGTGCAGTGTAATTGACAGAGCAGTTGGTTACTGTTAATATGTGAACAAGTGTTTAGTTATTGGATTACATAACATGGTTCTGTGTGGTGTTAAAGTTAGTACTCTGCATGCTGGAGCCAGTGACCCAAGTTCAGATTTCAGTCTGGCTTTAACTTTCAAAAACAAACTTTATAAGACTTTCCAATACCTCTCATTTGCCACTATTGTCTTTTTGCTAACTTGTTGATGAAATGAGAAATTTGACAAATTTCAAATTGCAGATCTGCACATGATACAACAATACAACAAGTGCTCAAACTTGTTATAGTCTGGATACCGAAGAGGACAAACTGCCTAAGTATAAAATGGTTTAGCAAGAAGATATCCTGTTTAATTTCCAATGTGTGACTGAGGAGGTGAATCCATCACATTGGATCATGTCAAGAAGGTATGTTATCATAAATGACATAGAGTTTGTAGGAGTGACAGCCCAAAGAAACTGAATGAGACATATAAACTCAAAGTGAAGGAGCTTTAAGTGCTACAGACACTGCTCGCTATAAATAAACCCAGAAGAACAGGTGTAAGGCCGTGTCTCTTTCCTACTTTCACATGGTTATAGGGTTCCATGGTGTAATGGTTAGCACTCTGGACTCTGAATCCAGCGATCCGAGTTCAAATCTCGGTGGGACCTGTTCTTTTGACAGCTTTTATCCTGACAAAGCCTCTGAGGGATCACATGTGCAAACATGTTTACACACAAAATACCTGAATTCATTTCATGCCTTGAAGCAGAAGCAGAGAGGCAGAGAGCAACAGTCAGCTGTGGCAAAAACTATTAACTACTGAGAAAGTAATTTTGAGGAAAGCGAAACAAAAATTTGGTTACTTATTAATAACATACTCCGTTACCTTGCGAGAAGACGGACACACTATCAGAAAAGTTACCACCTACACTATCACACAACTTTGAACTTCCCCAAACAGTTTAACTTGTTTAACGTTTATCTTTCCTCGTGCTTCAAACTAGCAGCACAATGTGAGAAAAGTAATTTGCATCACTTGCAATTTGGAAAAACAATCACGAAAAGGTCGACTGTAAACTTCGCAACAGCAGTTTGTATTTCACTGCTCAGTAACCAACCCAGCACATCATCTGAAACCAGTACGATCATTTGAGTGCATTTGGAAGCTCCGTAAACTTTGTGTTTAAAGATTGAGGCTTTGAATGTGAATTTATCATAATTTGCATATTTCAATGATTGATCTAATAGGTTAAAATGGTTTAATTTGCTGCAAATATGAGGTTTTTATGTTTTATTCAGAGGCTTATTGTCCTGGTTAATTCAGGTAATTTAGAGATCATATCCAAATCTCAACGAGTTGTTGGTTGAAGAGCAGTTATGATTCCAGTCGACCTGGATTGTCTTTGGTTGACTACAGCCCCATTAAACTGCTTCTGTTCGTCTGATTCCAGATTGCAGTTTCATTTGATTGACAACTAAACTTTTATCTTTAGTAAGCAATTTAATTTTGCACAGCTTAAATTTGGAAAAATAGTGATGTAAAAAATGTTTTTATCAATTATACTAAATATTACTTTTTACTATGTGATCTGCCTTGTTGTTCTTTATTTCAATAGTTCATACTAAGTCAGTAGAAAAATTGCAGATTTACTTCCCTCCTCTGTAAAAAGATATACATCAAACCCTGCTTACATTTCTGTCTTCCGCTGACAGTAGAGGTTCTCAGCTCCCCAGAGGAACCAGACTTTATTCAGCCACACCTAAACTCCAGAGGTCTTTAATTTCTCTCTCTATCTTTCAGAGTCTGCTGCACGTCTGCTGATCCCAGTGTGTCAGCATCAGCCTGTGCCTGCTGTAAACCTATAGGACTGCACACAATATCATTTATTCATGTCTCTGCGAGACATCAGGGAACCGGAGATCCATGCGGCTCACAGCGCGTCACTCAACATCCACATGCCACATCCAAGAAGTGCTTTAGATACTGTGGCAAAGGAAAAAAACCTTACAGGAAGTCTGTTCACAGCTGAGGTTAGAAAAGGCCATATGTGTTCATTGTTGACGGGTGTCGTGAGGTGATGATACTGAAGTGTTTTTATTACTGATGTTCTGTGTGTGAGTCACGGAGCTAAATATAAATGAGACATCAGCAGCGCAACGATTGAACAAAGCTGCTGAAACTTGCTGCTGTTTATCCACTCACCAGCCTCCGTCTTCTCTTTGCAATTAGATACATCTCACCCCCTCCCATTGCTTTAATGAGCATAAAAGTATCTAATCAGAATATACAAGAGGATTCATTTTTCATGACACATCACAGTCAGACATGCACATACATGCACAGAGCAGAACCTGGTTTAAGAGAACTTGCAGTGAGCACACATTGTATTTCATATTTTATTTTATGTCCATGTCTGTGTCTTTAGAGAAATACTGAAATCATGTTCCACTGTGTTCTTGTCAGTGAAGCATCATGACTCCAAACGTTGAGGAGGTTTGGTAAAATGCCAACAAATTACTGGGTCGATACAGGATTTGGGCCCAGACATAAGAGTCAATGGATTCAAAATGTGGAGTGTTTGTCTCTACGGTGCAAAATATTTGTTACATATGTGCAATGTGCATATATACACTCAAACAGCTGCTGAGTGTTACCTTGATCTGCTGTCTGCGTAGCATCGCTAGTTCCCTCATGTCTCTGAAAGGCTGCAGCAGATACTGGTACAGCTGTGTGGAGGCATCCAGTAGACCTCCATAAGCCAGGTCTTCTTTCTCATAGAGCTCCAACAGCTCCACCATGCTGTCCATGGTCCTGTGCTTCTCCAGCAGCTGCAACACACACGCACATGCAAACATGTTTAATTCTAACCAGCATACAAACAACATTCAGAATTTCAGGCACATTTCTACATTCTGTTTCAAAATCGTTTCAGTCTTTGTATGCAGATAACAAACAAACTTCAAGTGGCTGTAATGTAATCTGCAGATTTGTGTCTGTATTTCAGGGTAACAGCTATGTCAGAAGCTTGCACCTTGCTATCAGACGATGGGGATGCTTTGTGTAACAGTAAATAATAGGAGTGTATCTGAGCGCACTCAATAAGCAGAGTCCTTCCTGCTGCTGGGAAAACGATCGATACGCACACACATTTTTGCCAGACTGAACAATCCTGTAGGGCTACAGGCGAGCACTGAAATAGCCATTAACTCAGCCCCCAAATGGAGTGGGAGGATCAATGTATGTGTGTGTGTGTGTGAGATAGATAGATAGAGAGAGAGAGAGAGAGAGAGAGAGAGAGAGAGAGAGAGAGAGAGAGAGAGAGAGAGAGAGAGAGAGA